CTGCCCGCGCCGGACTCGAGTTTAAGCATGCAGGCTGAATTTTAGCATTTGACTTTAAAATTTTTACCGTTGAGCTTTTTAGAAGTTGTATGAACTGTTCAGCTCCTTTTTTGGTCCGTCACAGCGGGCTTGTGTGTCATTTGTCAATCAAAATCGAATTAAAAACTTTTTATTGGGTCTGGTTATCTCGCCAAATTCTTAACTGAATCGTTTAGTAGCTTTTGATTGGGCACTGTCCACGTTGTCTGTCAAACTTTTTGTGTCAACGAGAATAGGCTGCTGACATCGTTTGTCGCGGTTAGATAATACCAATCCACGTCCCAGTGTGGCTGCTTGATCGCACTTTCCCTGGCCCGCCTCTCCCACCAGGCTAGGTTTTGCCCGGCACAGTCCGCACAGCCGTCGCCTCAGTGCCTCGGGCGGTGACCCGTTCAAAGGGGCTCACAATTCGTATGGTGCCGTGGCTCTCAAACCAACACAGAACGGTGAAACGCACAGGCTAACCTTCCATATAAGGCGATCGGCTGATTCTGGCGCCGGGGCTTCATTCATGCTAAGGCGCCCAATCACAGCGCCGCATTTCAGTTAGTGTCGGGCGCAAAAGCTGCTATGCTCCGCCCCTCCATCACGTGACCCTGCCCTCACGTGGCCTCAGTCACGTGGTGTTTCCACTTCTTGGCGCATGGCGGCGCTAGTCTCGCAAGGGTGGTGGTAGCTTGCTCCCCCGCCGTCCGGAGGTGATGGGTAGCAAGTGCTGGTGACTGTACCTACATTGCTACTTTGAGATGGAGCGTTGCAATATCACTTATGCCACTTACCTTTCAGCGTGGCAAGCACTACGTGTCCATCTAATCTCCAAATCGGCTTCCAGAGGCCCTTGCTTCCGGCTTCATGTCAGCTACGGCGAATCGAATCGCGCGCCAATGTCCTACAGATCGGGTAAATATCGTTCGTCTTTCACTGGCAGTTTTCGACCAGCCACAGACAGGCCCGCCCACGTGCAGTGGATCCTACTCTTCACTATAGAACACTTTTCAGTTTTCACTGTGTAACACACTAAGCTCACCACACAGAACACGCCCCACCCACCCTGATCGCCACATCGACTCTTGGCGTACCCGGCCCCCACGCAAACTGATGCAAGGCCATATAACCACTGATGCGTCTTCTCGGACGAATTTCTGCTGCGTTCTGCCGGGTCGCGACCAGTCCTCGACGCTGATTGGTTGACGGAGGCGATCGTAGCCCGAGGCCATGTTTTGTCGGGCTGACGGGAGAGGGGGGACGGGGGCGGGTAGGGGTGGTGACTGGTGAGGCGCGTCTGATAGGCGACACCGGAGAATCAATGGTGCTGCAATATCAATTATTCAGTGTGATTCGGACTCGGTGCAGATAGGTAAGTGGGTACCTACTAATGCTCCAAAACTACTTTGTTGCAGAAATGTTCATATTTGCGATTCACGATGTCGCCTGCCAGTTTACTGTCCGGGGTCAGGCATACGACACTGAATGTAATAATCGATTGGCAATAATAATACCTAATCGACAAGCAAAGCATGCTTACGCATTGGTCTAAAACCGTTTGTATTTTTCAAAAACCGTATATTCGTCAGGTGGCGGATATTCTCCGTCGACCAGCAGCGCTTTTGCTCATGATCCGAAAACATGTGCGGCATTTTCGCCAGTTTCTGGTCATCGGCAGTATTCATGCATAATGCCCGTAAGTTTTGCAATGGAATTTTCTTTATTTCAAATCGCTGGATCACCGACTAACTAACCGACTGGAAATTAATGTAGGAGAGGAAAATATTGGTAAGGAATCCCTCACCGATCCGATCTTAGGTATGTGCCCGTGCCCTGATGTGACCTACAATAAAATGTTCGGTAGCTTCTATGTAGATTTATTTCGCAGGGATGTTCTCAAATTTCACATCAGATGACAAATCGGTGGCTGGATGTCCGCGGGAATAGCGCAAAAATGGACGTTTCGTGGTAAACATTTTGCTGCAATGATTTTTTTAATAACCAGTAAAACGCCTTTTGAAGCAGCCTTGGAGCGGGGGACCATCAAAGCGTCCAAAACCGCAGCATCCAAAGTACGCAACATCCAAAACCGCAGCGTCCAAAGTACGCAACGTCCAAAATACGTCCAAAATCGGGCATATAGGGAGCATTCACAACGTCCAAAACCGAAACATCCAAAACCGCAACATCCAAAACGTATCATCCAAAACCGCAACATCCAAAAACGCAACATCCAAAGTACGCAACATCCAAAGTACGCAACATCCAAAGTACGCAACATCCAAAGTACGCAACATCCAAAACCGTTAGGTTAGGTTAGGTTAGGCTAGGTTAGGTTAGGTTAGGTTTCCTTATCCCCGGTAGGCATAAATCAGTAGGTTAGGTTAGGTCAGGTTAGTTTAGGTTAGGTTAGGTTAGGTTAGGTTAGGTTGGGTTTCCTTATCCCTGGTAGGCATAAATCAGTAGGTTAGGTTAGGTTAGGTTAGGTTAGGTTAGGTTGGGTTTCTTATCCCCGGTAGGCAAAAATCAGTAGGTTAGGTTAGGTTAGGTTAGGTTAGGTTAGGTTGGTTTTGGATGTTGCGTGCCTTGGATGTCGTGGTCTTAGACGTTGTGGTTTTGGAGGATACGTACTTTGGATGTTGCGTTTTTTGGATGATACGTTTTTGGACGTTGCGTTTTTGGATGTTTCGGTTTTGGACTTTGTGAATGCCCCCTATAAACCCGATTTTGGACGTATTTTGGACGTTGCGTACTTTGGACGCTGCGGTTTTGGATGTTGCGTACTTTGGATGCTGCGGTTTTGGACGCTTCGATACGGACCCCTTGGAGCAACCAACGGAGCGAGCGAGAGCGTGGGCCTTGCACGTGCGAAATTGTGAGGGGGTACCTCCAACTAACTTTTGCACTGCACCCTACTAACCGGTCCCTAAGGATGTGCTAAACTTGAGCGCAATCGGCCTAGCCGTTCTCGAGATCTGGAAGCGGCACCCTGCACGTGCAAATTGGGTCCCAACTGACTTTTGCACGGCACCCTACTAACCGGTCCCTAACCGTGTACCAAATTTGAGCGCAATCAGTCCAACCGTTCTCGAGAACTGAAATCGACCCCTGCACGTGCGCACGTGCAGCAACACCCCAATTGTGGCACATGAAAATGCATTGCCTAGTGGGTGCCTACCTACCTACCAACCTTCAGCGCGATCGGTCCAGCAGTTACCGAGACATGCAATTGTTGCAAAAGTGACACCTCTTCGTTTTGCAATTGGCACGTGCATAAGGGGTCACCCATATGCATCGGGAATAATCCAATACTTGGAAGAAGGAATGAAGCTACCCTACAAAAATTACCGCGTGTGCCTCGCAAAAGCATCCGCACGGCCTCGGCCAGCCGGCCGACTGGCCGCTCGTACTCAGAAATTTTCGAAAGACTACGCTTGCCGCTTGCGTTTCTCGCTCTGTAATTACCAGGATTGTTTGATATCTTCGGGCATTGGCATCGTGTTTACATTGCCGAGACGTGACGAAGAATGGCTTATGATTTTATTAAAAAGTTACCTATGTAAAAGTAAACTATGACTAAAGGTCAAGGTCATGACCTGCCTGAAAGACGTCATAGGCTGCGTACCTATTAGTGCATTCGTAATCTTCAGATGAATACATCTAAATCGTTTTAATTACTCTCAAATGTATAAAAAATCACCTCTACGAAAAACTTAATGACAGAGGGATGTTCCCCTAAATAGTTACATTAGGTACACCAACCTTGTAGTCATCTATCATTTTTTTGGTGTGGGGTCACGGACGCATAATAATCCATTTTATCATGTAATAGAAACCTGAACAAAGTGTTTAGCATAACGTTCGTCCATAAGGGGTAAATTTTAATTTTTTCCCTTTAAGCGTCACGTTTGTCTTTCTTTTTTGCATAGGCTGTATACAGCCTATGCAAAAAAGACCTCTAAAATTTATTTCCTGTAGGAAATAAATTTTGGAGGTCTAGGACGCTGACAACATGGCAGTTGTGACCATGGATCAGGTTAGCGCTCTCATAGCAGAGGCAGTGGAAAAGGAAACAGCTGGTATGAAAAGAGATAGGTCATGGCTCTTCAAGCAGAGAACAAAAACTGAGTGAAAAAGTAACCAAACTGGAATAGGCTTTAGATGAGGCCGAGCAATGCAGCAGGAAAACTTCACTGATCCTAGGTGGGGAGGGAGCGCCAGAGGGGAGACATGATGAGTCTCCAGCAGAGACCTGTGAGACTGCTCTCAAACTAATCAAAGAAAAACTCAACATATACATATCTGAAAGGGGCAACCTCGTCTTATCACCGCCAAAGAAAATAAAAAGGATCCTCATCAAATTTCAGGATCTTGAAGACAGGGATGCAGTTTACCAGGCCAAATTCAACCAGATATTGGTAAGAACGGCCACCATGGCCCGTGTCCTGTGCGGGACTGAGACTGAGACCGTCACAGTGCAGTGAGAAGTTTAGTTCTTCTCTTTCTTCAGTCTTCAGCACTCAGCGCTCTGTCTTGCATCGAGTATTAAAAGTGGCGGCTCTAAAACTTTCGCGCCAGAACGATAGAAGTATGGTTAGATGAATTTTCCATTTTTTTTTTCTGCTTTTGTTTTGCGAAATTTTGTTTTAAATTAACATAAGGTTAGATGATTTATAAAATTGACGTAGTAAGGAAAAGGAAAAGAAATTGAAAATAAGCTCAATGCTAGCAAATACTAATATTAGAAAATCCTGAATTATTTTGCAAGATAACTGTCAAAACTATTATGAAAATTGGTATATTTTTTGCTTTAAATAGTTGTTGAATTATTTTTCTATTTATTTTATCATTTGAAATATACAAGTCCTTCGAATAATATAACATTTAGTAAAATTTGAATATATTCTCTTGTAAAATAAATTAGTGGCGTTATGTTTCTTATCGTGCGGGAAGCGACGCCGCAAATCTTTCACTTCCTCCGCCATATTGCCCGGCCGCGTGGTGTTATCGGTTGTGCGCTTAGAGCGGGGTTTTACCTGTGTTTACGGCTTATCACCTTATCTTATATGGCCAGAAATATCTTTGTTGGTGTCTAGTTCTTTCTGTGTCATTCATATATCCGTCGTTTCTTGGTTTCCGCTACAAATCACAAAATGTCTTTCGGCGGGCGGCCTCCCCCGGCCATCGAGCGTATGGTTTCATTGAAAGTGGACAATATCACATACCGCACCAGGCCAGAAGATATGCGAAGAGTGTTTGAAAAGTATGGTGAAATCGGGGACATTTACATTCCAAGGGACAGGTACAATAAGGAGAGCAGAGGCTTTGCTTTTGTGAGGTGAGTGTTGTCGACGTGAAGTGGCGCGGGTAGTCGTATTCCTCATTGTTTTATGCGTGTCTATGTCTCGCTTGCTTATGATTGCAATTTATGTTAATCTTAAAAAATGTCAAAGCTGAAGTTATGTGATTGATTCCACTGTACTGTCATTTTGGTTGCCAATTGTCTGTTGCGGTAATAAGTGCCGAGTAGGATGGATGGAGGGATGTTTATGGAGCTAGTGTTTGCTAAGGTTAAGTATATATTGAGTGTACCAATGAATACACCCTGAGGAGTGGAGCTTGGCCATTTGTATAAACTGAAGCCTGAATATCAGATATGTCAGTTCTCTTACCTTAAGTTCATCAATGCACTGGTTTTTAATCCTGTGAGTTGTTGAATTTTGAATTGTGGGTGCTTGCCCTTGTAAACTACTGTCACTTTCTCCATTTTCATGCCTTTATTTTTCATATCAATTTTAATCAGACAGGTTTTGGACTGGACACAAAGGAGTTAACAGTTACCGTTACCAATTACTGTTGGTGGGACTTTGGGAGGTCAGAGGCCTTTTAGACCCATTCTCTTCAAGCTCTTAAGATCTTGGTTACCTATTGCTCTAGCTGAGGTAGTAATGTTGGTGGATATCAACCCTTTGTTCTGACGGACAGTGCTGTTTTCTCCATTGGGGAATATTCATCACTGTTTGGGTAGGCTTTCTTGAACTTATGTAAAAATGGGTGCTGCCATATCATGCTGTGTGTGTATGTTTTTTAATTGAGAAATACTTATATTTTGACTTGTTTATATATATTTTGTATTTATGAATGTCAAATCACATCATTTATTTTCTTCAATAAAATCGCAGCAGAGTGAAAACTATGCAAAGCCACTCAATCGGTTAAATGCAGCATATTATAAATCCTAAACAAAAAGAAATAGAGAAAAAGACATGCCTATAGAATTTATCATAAACATAATTCAGTAGGCGGAACTATGGTCAAGCGTACCCATTTTCGGGAACGCATTTTCGTTCCCATGTTTGGGAACGATAAACCCAAATATGGGAACGCCATGTAGGCATTATTTAAAACAAGAAAAAGAACCGTTAAATGACGTCCAAAAAATATAAAACGATCGTGAACCACCTGATATTTGTCTCAATATTGTTGCGAAAGAGTTTGATATTGTAAGGCCCATCGTAGTTTCAAATCGTTTCCCTATTTCTAAAGCAGTCCATCATCCGGGCCGCGAGCCTAAATTTGGGAACGCTCTCGTACACTGGCGCTGCAAGCGTCCCTTATTATGGGAACGGCGTACCCAAAAGTGGGAACGATTTCACCGACGCCTTTAAGGGGCTCTTTTCATTAACAAGCATCACGTCCAACGCCGCAAATTATTGTTAACGCAACAATCATCAGATGACCTTTCCGGCAAGACCGTCGCATGTTTCGCCCGGTCTTCTGCGCTTTTATTCCCGTCGATCTCGCAGCGGGCACGCCCCCCTCTGCAGGATTACGTAATTCACAACGCTCAGCGATGTTCAACAAGGTCTTCCATACCTATATCCACCGTTCGCGCCGAGGGTGGAGACATGTCAAGCACCTGTCTGTTTATCACCGATAGTTGACGAGCACAAGGAAGTATCCAAAAATGGGAACGCTGAATATGTTACACCCTCAAAACACCTAGTCCCAATGAAAATCTAGTTTTTTCCTTTCTTGATGAGTGTAAGTGGCAAAAGGCCTGGTAGGATGGGCACGAGGAATGATCGAAATCAGCATAAAAATTATAAATAAGCCACACAGAGCGACCTATATAAGAGAAATTCCCCCGAAACGATCACGCTTAGAAACACGGAAGACAAAAACCACGCACATGACGCTCCTTATAAAACAACTCTAAACAGCTAGCATCCAAATAAAATATGTCTATCTGGGATGATATAATACAGCTGAATAATTTTAAACCACTGAAACTGAGTTTACAACAGTAGTTCGGTAAAATCACTGACGTTCCATGCGGTCGTGCGCCCCGACACCAAATGTCACCAATATTACCCCCGGACTGTCCGCGTGTTCGCTTGCATATGTCAGCATCTGGTGTCGCTAGTATGAAACTTCATAACCAGGCGAAAATTATTATAATTAACCTCAAAATGTAAAAACGCTTCATTTTCCTTAAAATTGCAAGTTAAATGTAGTATAACCCATGTTTTCACCATTCCGTCATTTCAAAAAATCATTAAAAATATCATTCGACGGTCAATTTCCTTGTGCAACGGTCAGATTAAAGATAATTTTATAGAGACTTAGTAGATACTTAAATTAGCGTGCACTTTTTTGAGACGTGATGCACTAATGAGTTTTAGTGGGCGAACGGCCGAAAAATTACCTTCCGTTCCCATAAATGGGAACGCCCGTTCCCATATTTGGGAACTCCGTTCCCAAAAATGGGAACGTTCCTATATTTGGGTACTCATGACCATAGTTCCGCCTACTGAATTGTTATCATCAATACAAGGAAAATCTATGATGAAATATGAAAGCAAAAAGAAAAAGAAAAAAACATGCCTATAGAATTTATCATAAACATAATTCTAATCATAAATAAAAGGAAAATCTATGATGAAATATGAAAGCAAAAAGGAAAAAAGAAACATAAATAAACTGTGCCCACGGTGATGGTGGACGCCATCTTGAAAAACGGGCGCGACAGTGGCATTTCTCGCCATTTCGCGGGATTCCTCGCGGCTCACGATGCCCGAACGGCCGTTTCCGTGAGGAATCCCTCGGCGTGGAAATTCCACGTGAAAAAAGGCGCGCCTGAAGGCGTGTCAAACAGTGGAGGCGGACCAATTGAGTCATACAGCTATGTCACTGAACATCTGTGATATTGACTTATTTTTTCATTTTAGTAAATACAGGTGTTCCGTTGTTTGGCCTGACTTTGTACCAGTTTTTGACTTTTCTTCATATTACTTCCAAATTATTTTGTTAAATGTTCAGGAAATTGTGCAGTAAGGCAGTGACATCCCTGCTGGTCACCTATAGTCACTCTTAATTTTTTTTGGATAATGACATATAATTTATTTTTTTGAAATAAGAGTGGCACAATGTTACCCGCACAAAAATAACTTTGTACCATATGAATAAATGCATCAATAAAACAATGGAAAAGCCAAAAGTATCAATGTTAGCGGTCGTTATGGATACATTGGTCCACTTAGGGGCTTTTAAAAAAGGAAAAGCAAACTTGCACATTGTACAAACATAGTCACGGGATGATGCACACCATCATGACTGTAGGTCGCTTACGTATCCCGCTGGGACATTTACGCACAACCAACGACGCGACGAACCACACACAATAAAAGGCACGGAACACAACGAACGACACGACGACCCTCTTCATCATATGGTGTCATATGGTGTCTTCATCATATGGTGTACCCTTCCTGCGGGTGGCCCAAAGTTATTGAATTAACGGCAAAAAATATGTATAAACATTGACCACCCCCAAATTTTAAAAAAATGTTTGAGGAAAATAAATTACCAATAGTCGAATGCAAAGTTCACATGATGTCCTATTCAGGCAAATTGCAAAAGTCGATTCGGCTGGTAGCATCTGAGCCCCGTACAGGGACCTACCTAAACCTTAATATTGGGTGAAAAAAAGGAGCTTCACCAAAAAAAAATCTAGAAAATCCAAAATCGACATGATGACGTATTTTTTTGTGTCCCTGGGTTTATCATTGACTACTTCATTGGTTACGGCCCAAAAATGCCATTTCTCGCGCATAGGTATTAAGCTGATTAAAATTTAGCCATTTTTTTCCTCGTGGAACAAAGTTACCCACACGGCCCAAAGTTAGACCAAACAACGGTTTATTTGCTATTTGTGATTCCTTTATGCATGGTTTTTGGTTCTCACAATGTTTTTGAGGTTGCTGTTTGTTGTGTGACACACGACTGATTGGAAAAAATATGGCCAATGTTATGTAAAATCATGGCTTCATTTCTGGATACCTGCAGGTAAATTCAGTCTAATCAAGCCCATGTCTCCTGCCTGTCCTCCACATCTACATGTTTTTCTAGCTTCCACAATCTGCACCATTTCCTGACCTCCCTCTCTCGCTCCGTTCCCCAGGTACTACGACCGGCGGGATGCCGAGGACGCGATGGACGCGATGGATGGCCGCATGTACGACGGCAGGGAACTGCGCGTCCAGATGGCCCGCTACGCCCGGCCCATGACACCGCCCGACCGCCGCTACGGCGGACGCTACGCCGGCAGCGGCGGCGGCGGCGGTGGTGGCGGCGGCCGGCGCCGCACGCGCTCTCGGTCCCGCTCGCGCAGCCGGGACCGCCGCTCGCGCAGCCGCAGTCGCGGACGACGCTCGCGGTCTCGCTCTCGCAGCCGCTCGCGCAGCCGTGAGCGTCGCACCCGCAGCCGCACGCGCTCCCACAGCAGGTAGGTTCTTTGTCGTACTGGGAGCATCAGGCTGATGATCCGTACTTGGTACAGGCGTGTTTGGAGCCATATGAATGTTATCGGGTTTTATTTGTAATATGTTTGGAAAATTTATTTCTGTTTTTAAAAGATCTTGGCTGTGATAACATATTCTTTTAGCTACACCTTTGGAGTTTGTGAGTAAGGCGTGTTGCCACAAAATAACTTAAGTAACTAATTTAGCTGCTAATGTAACATCCAATCTGAATAAGTTTGCTATCGCACCAGATTGAAGTCACTGACTCTGCCGGTGCTGCGCGCCAGGTCTCCGCGCGACAGCAAGTCCCCGGACCGCCGGAAGGCGCCCGAGGAGCACGAGGGAGGAGCTGAGCCGGTCCAGGACAACGGCGCCGAGATGGAGCAGCGCGGCGGCTCCCGCTCCCGGTCACGCTCCCGCTCCCGGGGAGGATCGCGCTCCCGGTCCCGCTCCCACTCCAGGTAGGCTCAGTGAATCATGTGCGATAAAATCATTGGTAAAATGTACGAGGGATAAAACATCAAACAGGGGTGGCTTAACGGACTGGGGAAGGGTCAAGGCAGTTAGATTCGTTGGATGGACTGATGGATTTGCTGGCTAGATAGGACCTGCATAAGATGTCATAGACTGTAGCTGCATTTTTGGTACACTGCGAATTGTCTTTTGCTGCTTACACTGATTTTTGTACGCTTATCGTATCCTCATCCGTGCCCCTTCCCTCCCCTGCCTATGTGACGCGTACCAGTCTGACACGTTAATGTGTGTGTTTGTGCCCCAGGGAGTAACTGGTGCGGCGGCTGACCGGACGGAGAGAAGGTGGAAGAGGTGGCCGTCACCGAGCGGCCGCGGCGGCCGAGTGTACCGGGCCGGCCTGCCCGCCGCCGCAGCCGACCGCCCGCTCTAGGTACTGGCGGCGCCGACCTCTGACGGCCGCCCCCGAGGGCCGAGCGCCCCGGGCGTCCCAGGGGCGTCCCTGGGGCGCCGGCGGGCGCTCGGTCCCCGGCGAAAGCGACCGTCAGACTCGGGAGGGACGTTCACAGACTGTTCACCTGTTCATTGAGGGAATGTCACTGGCTGTCGGTCCCCCGCGCCGCGCTCGGGTAGAGCGCTGGCCGGCGGACCTGTTCTCAAATACAAAAAAAGAACACGTAATAAACAGAGTAGCTTAGTGTGTACATATGGTCAGGTGTAGCTGCACGCCGGGTACATTTTAGCCGCGCGGTTTTCCTCCGCTTGTCGCTCTGACGCTGATTTCAGACGTGTCGTCGGGACGGGCCGCGGCGCCGGGCGCGCTCGCGCCCGCCTCGACACCCCCTTGATCGATCGAGAAGCTAAGTAGACTGTGCTGGCTCCTGTACACCGCCGATTGTCTTTGTATATCCCCGTGTCGCGCTATGGATTCTCTCAGAACGAGGTTGTGCGCTGTTCTTATTCTCTCTCGTTTCTGATCGTTTGGACCCGAGCTCCATTGACTAGCTCGTTTTCGCCGCGTATCTCTGAGTGTCTTCTTGGTAATAAAAGCCGTCAGTACCGCTTCCGTTTGATCGCGTATGTACGCGCGTGTTTGTGTGTGTGTTGTGTTCGAGTTCCCCCGCTGACAACCCGTCCGTTTTTCCCTGGCAGACGGGCCGCGGCAGCCGCGCCCTGCTGCGCTGCCGTCTGTCGCCCGTTTGAGAGCTGTCCTGTGAGCCGCGAGAGAGCTGTCCTGAGCTGAGCCGAGCGGTGGGGGAGAGAGCTGAGCGAGCTGATCACGGCTGCGGTCCCGGTGGCGGCCAGCTATCCCGAGACACTGAGCCCGAGCCACCGAGATGCGAGCAGAGCAGTCATCTCCTGAGAGAGCGGTCTGCGCCAGAGAGCAGAGCAGAGAGCAGCCTTATCCTGAGATAGCAGAGTGGCACCTGAGAGCAGAGCGGTCAACTCCTGAGGGAGCAGAGCTGAGAGCAGTCAGCGTCCGCCGAGAGCAGAAAGCCGAGCCGGCGGCGGGGAGGGTGGCGGAGCCCGGAGCAGCTGCTGTGGCGGAGACCTGCGCAGCAGAGCAGACTGTTCCGGTCAGCGGCGGCGGTCCTGTGTCGGCGCTGCACCTGAGGGCGCACAGAGGGTGACGCTGTACCCCTCGGTGCCACTGCCCGCTCTAAAGCAGTGCAGGGCTCTCCCCTGGCGCTGGTGTGGAACCGGTAGGGGTGGCGGGGTGTGACCTTGTGCCACTCCCTGTGCGTCCTGTCTTCTGGGCATTGGGATGCATTTCAATTTGAGGCAAATTGCAGACAACCCCGTAGGCAAAAAATTGAATAAGTCGGGGGGGGGGGGGGGTCGCCATTTCGTTTGAAATAATCGCAGGTGTCTGTAGCTCCTAGGGGAATAGGCAGCTCAAGTCGCCCCATCCCATCCCCACTCCGTTTTGGTTTTGCTGGAAGGGACCCTTTTTACGGGCTTCAATAGAAATAAAAATTGGGTGAATGCAAATCTGCCAGATAAATATCCCGACTCTTGAACATTTTTGGATATTTTAAGAGCTGGGCTGTTTGAGGGAGGAATGGGTACATAAATCTGACTTGCTTATCCTCCCTTTTTAGCATCTAATTTCTGGTTTTGTTCCTCTCTCAGTCGATAATCAGGACTTGGACACAACCATGTTCCGACCAACCCCTGCCTGGGGACCTATCCCTTTCAAGGGCTAATGGCTACAGTTTGGGGCCCGGGTCGTCTGTCGGGGTGGTCCGGGCCTGTCGATCCTGAGAAGCCGAGAGCAGCAGCCGCCGTGCGGAGGTTCCAGCAAACGTAGCCGGTTCCCGAGCCACGTAAGACCGCTGAACAAACGCCTGCTCGACGCGTCATCTAGCTAGTCTAGATTTTTAACGCGAGTCCTTGTTTTCTGTATTCGTTTAAATAACGCTCCGTTTCTATTCGGCGAACAAAGAGACTAACGCGTTTCAGTATGCTGTAGGTAATCACTATTTCTAAAAGATCAAATGATTACGCGTTGCGCGAGCTCTAAGCACATGGCAGTTGGATCATGGATGATGAGTACAGTTATCACTTAAGCTCATTCCGAAGGTTGCTCGAACGCGATCAGGTAGCCAAGTATCTGTCGCGGTACCACCGATTCGGGTTACGATAACCTCCCACGTTTTACAGGAACTGACGAGCAGACCAGCTGTCGCGGTCTCCTCTTCCAGCCTCTGACTTTCTGGCTTGGACGAGCTAACCACTGACCGGCCGGGAATGACGAGAAGGCCGTTATGTTTGTCGTTTTACGTTTGGTTGCCTTTTAGTTTTCGATTCCTGACAATATTCGCGTTTCCTTTCAAAAGCACGTTGCATGACGCGGGCATGATTGTTCTCCTTTTTCTTTTGACGTCTGCGACGATATTTTTGTTTTTACCTCATTTATTTCTTTTACGATTCGAATAGCAACTAATGCATTTTCCAGGCAGCGTGACTGACATACAACCCTCGAGTTCAGTCTGTCACCCTCTTGTGTTTTGCCTCAGCTCAGGCCGGCAGTCGGCGCACCATGGAGCAGGCCCGCTCGAGTGGTCTGACCACCACCTTGCAGCAAGCCCTCTGTATGTCTTCCCTTCCCCGACGAGAACAGGCGATGGCGGGACTGACACCAGCCGGGCAGGCGGGGCCATCTGCTAGTGCGGACGGTGGTGACGCCTGGGACCAGCGGAGCAGACTGGTTGCGGACACCAGCGGAGCGGAGCCGGCACAGATGCCAGCGGATCAGCGCTGTTAGGGGAACCTGGATCTGGCAATCAAACAAGCGAAGCAGTTGGCCAATGAAAGCGCAGAGCAGGGTCCCTTGCTTAGCCCAGCGGAAGCGGAACAGATACGGCACAGGTAACCAGCCCAGCAGGATAGGGTACCGAGATAGTTGGCGAAGTGCCGCTTCTCACGTGCGAGTCCTCTGTGCGACACCCCATCTTGAACAGGTGGACATCGCTTCGGGTATCTTCGCACAGTAGAGCCGTTACGAGATGGGGGAAGACCACAAGCTGCTTGCCTGTCTGCCGTGGCGTGGGCGCCCTCGCGACCGGCAGCGCTCTCCCGTCGTCGGCCTAGGGATCGTCGGGGATCGTCAACGTCTGTGCTTCTGGCATGAATAAGTCGATTCCTGCCCATCATCCGTTGGCGTTAGACCCAGCACTGATGCTGTGATCTCCGTGACTGCACAGCCGCCGTCCCAAAGACGTTCCCGAGCTCCCGTCTATGTGACGGCGCAGCGCTGTTGTGATTCGATGCATCAGCTGATGATTACGGTGACCAAAATCTACCTAAGATAACCGCGACTTTGCCCTGGTGTGGCGTTCAGTTTTGTGTTGGGAGGGACAGCGTCGCGTTCCGACAGCCATCATAGGAAACTGATCTGTAGTAGGCTGGACATACCCTTGGCTGGACTGCCTGTTTCAATGACGCTTTCTCAAAGACGTTTCAGTCATTTTGGATATTGGTGTCAATCGTATTGGCACGCCGCACGTTGCTTTCAGTGGATAAACTGAATCGTTTTCTGTCCTGTTCATATTAACCCTCGCCCGTAAACGGCGATCTGCCACCTTCGCCCATGCAGGGGGGGGTTGGTGCGACCCCCCCCCCCCCTTGGCGTTTGAAAACGGAGCGTCGTAGAGCTTAGCGGAAAAAACCAACGGACTGCTCTCAACGAGATCTCGCGATTGGTGGTATATTTTTTGGTCCTAGGTCAACATTTGACCTACTTTTGACCGGTCAAAGGTCAAATTTTCGGAAAAATAGACTTTTTTCAACTTTCCGCGGCGATTGCGGCAAAACGGTGGGAGATATCGACTTGAAACTTTCACTATCGTGTTCCTTGATGAATTCTCTATCGTTTGGTATGTATTTCGTTTCCCTAGCTCTAAAAATGGCGCGTTGGGAGCGCCGGAAGTCGGCAAGGTCACAGTCGGCGGCAGAAATTCGAAAAATCAAAATTTAAATTTTTAAAATCTGATTGTGTTTTTTGGATTTGGGAGGTCCATTTGCTCCCTATAGAAGCTAATATTGCTGCATATTCCCATTGAGGTGACAAGAATAAGCAAAATAGTGGTTCGGGCGCTTTTAAAAAATAGTACCGGACGCTGTTCCTCTTGTGACGTCATAGCTCCGTGACCTGACCTGACCTGGTCAAGTTTCTTATACCATATGATAGCCAATACTTGCCCCAACATGCATGGGAAGTTTCATCACGATCCATCAACCGATGTCCGTACCACCGGCAGGAAACCTCGGGCGTTGGCACTCAGTTTGTGAAAATCCGGCCGGAGGCTGTTCCCTTTGTGACGTCATAACTCCGTGACCTGACATGACCCGGTCAAATTTTTTTATCAAAAGATGCGCAAGGTTTGCCCCATAAGGTACCCAAAATTTGGCGGCGCTGCGCGCCGCCGTTTTTGCACTATTTCCAAAAAACCTCAGGGGGGGTTGTACCAACCCCCCCCCCTACATGGGCGAGGGTTAACCCTGACGATTGGTATTTATATAAGAGCACGTTTTCTACTAGTTACGGGCTTCACTTTGCATTCATCGAAATAAATAAAAATAAATGGAAAGGTGAAAGCCTGTGTTTCTCTGGGGAATGACGAGCGAGTGAAGTGGTGGAAACTAAGCTACAAATATCAGTAGGTGACGGTGCGAGGATTTGAGGGCAATTTTGCGGTAAAGATGAAATCGCGTGTTACTGTGGAGAGGTGGGCACGGTGGAATTTCACAGCAGTTTGCGGTGCGCTAGGGGGGAGACGCATTTATCGTTCGGCGGTGATTCGGCTCGAACCAGTAGTGGTAGGATGATATTCGCGAGTCTGCTGCTGGCGGTCGAATGTTTGCTCTGGCGGCGGATTCGCCTACTACGACCAATCTGCTGCTTGATTGGAGACGGGCTGGTAGAATGATTTTTTAGGAGGGATTGGTACCAGAGAACTATATGGATGTCTTGTGTTGTCAATATTTAGTCTTCTTTCCCGTTCACCTCACGCTACAGATTTCTCGAGGGACATCGTTGGCTTGAATGCGCTAGCAGCAAAATAGGCCCATCCTAAATTTTGCATTGTTTTAGTGGTTACGGTTTGTTTACATCCATTGACTACAATCGCGGTCATAGCTCTTTTGGGCTCTCTCTATCGCCTGGATAAAAATAGGCCCCGCCCATCCCAATCAGCTGCTGCATGACGAGTTGATGACGACAACCACTACTTACCAGCAACCAATCTAGGGATAGCGTACGTGACAGTAATGGTGCAGCGGTTGCAAAATATTACATTGTTATTCAAACGGTTTTTGCTATTAGGGCCTTGTTAGATGAGGATGAGGTTAGATTAGATGAGGTGTTGATGAAGGCAGGTATTTTTTAAAAATATTTTTTTGACAATTTTTTGCCCTTGTTTTACTTAATAGCTGAACCCGGGACCACCTGAAGTCTAAACCTTATTTTATATAACATGTCAATGCTGATGCTGTCTTGAAATCAAAATGTGAAATTTAGACAATGGTAATAGGAATAATGAATAGCAATTTCACCAACAACATTTTAATCTCTAGGAAGTGCAATTAAAATTGAAATCACTGTCTGCCACACTGCTCCATCCTGGTCATGCAACCAACGTTCATGGGTGGTGTTTCACGGCAGAGCACGCACTGCAGTGCTCAGCACTGCAGTGCGCTGCGTGTGTCAGAGCATTGGGTTTCCATGGCAGTGTCAACAAACTTCACTGTGACGCTAAGCTATGACAGCATCCCAGAACGCTAGCACGCTGCGGTACCAGCACCAGCAGCATGCTAGCAGTATTTGAACTCAAACCTCTGTTCTTGGTACGGTTTTTCAGAACCTCTCACTCTGTTCCAAACGCGATTGATCATAAACTAAGAGGTCACATGCAACGTCATTTGAGTGATGCTATGGTATGCCGTAGCTACCAGTGCACACAGTGTCTGGATGGTGAAACAGGGCCATTATTAATCACATTTGCTTTGCTTTGTTTCAGCAGAAACCTGTCTGCACATGGGAGGAGCGCAACAAAAGCCCATCAAGTTCATGCATGGCAGTGGATCTCAACAGGAGAAAACCAGAAAGAACATGGATGCTTGTAGATTGCAGTTGTACACTGCTGTTATCACCTGATGTGCGTGGCTGGCATTGCTCCTGGCAAGAACCACCTGCAAGTGATGAGATGGTGCCTCAGTCGTTGAGTGTGCTGCAGTGTGAGAGGCGCCCTGATCTCTACTTTGTGATGGGTTTCCATTGGAGGTTCAACTGAGAAGTGAGAACTGACTGTGACCATGCTTGAGCATGCCAGTGGAGCTTTACATGCTTAGGGCAGCTTTTGAACAGATGCTGACCATGGCATGTCCCATCCAGTTATCACGTGCACAGAATGGTGGGGGGGAGGGCAACTCTGGGCTCTTGAGTCAGCCCTACTGCACAGGGGGTACAGATGGCCGCTTACGTTTGGTGTGTCCTGCACTGCATTATCAAGCCCAGTCTGCGCCACAGGCAATGGGTCGGGCTGCACTATGTTAAAGGCAGACTATCTTGCAAAGGAGGCTGGCATCCTCTCCCATAATGACACACCAATTGGCAATCATCGCTGCGATGATCACGAGGGTGTCCGCTTATCTAACATGGTGAGGTGGAGAGCCAGTTCAAGCTGGCCTGAGGGATGGTTTTACTTCATCTGAGGCCCCCTTTCCCCGCCTGCCAGGTCCGGTCAAACGACCGCTTCACAGTGAACGACTTGCAGTGGATGCCGTCCCACAGCGCAACGAGCTCGCCGACCAGAGGCGGCGGCCAAGAGGCGGCCGCGCTCCCCCAGTCGACGGTCCCGGTGGACGTCGGCAACGCCCACCGCGCGACCATCAGATCGGCTCGCGACAGCGCCGTCGCCGACTGACCGCATGACTGGTATCTGTTCTTGATGTGGGACCGACTGCCACCGCCGGTCGCGGAAGGGCATCGCTCATCGGCCATCGACGTCCGCCAGCTTCGCGTGGGTCACTGTTCGGGCTGCCACCAATACACCGAATCGGATGGAACCCTGTCGGCGAATGCCGGCGGTGCCCCGACATCGACTGCGCGGCGGCCAGTGCATCGCGTGCCGGGAGGAGGCTGGCACCCCCGATCGGTCATTGGTCACAAACCGTGTCCCAGCTCATGACTGCATCCAGCGCAGCTCTGTGAGATGTTCTGCAGCTGCTGCAGTCTGCCGCGTGTGTTGAAAGAAGAATGAACATGAGAAAACCTCAAAACTTTATGCCTATTCGTAATTGACCAGTATTGGAATAAGTTTGGATTTTGAGAATTTGTGTCCCTGTGCTTGTGCCTGTGTGGAAAGGCATGCTTTACGGTGTACCATCTCAATGTCAAATCCCGGCTGCGCTGTGCGGATTTGTGCGGCTGCTGACAGGCCACCTGGGTGCCAACGTATGTGCGAATCCGCGAATACGTTGTGTTTCGTCAGTCAGTATCGTTCTGAAAATATTGACTAGGCTATATAATAGGCTATATAGCGTATGACGGTTCAGCCCAGCAGTAATAACTGACCATTGATTGGGCGAATTTTGTGTGGTGGTTCGCTAATACATAACCTAAAGAGTGTTTTGCCGGAATCGTTTAGTAGCAGAACTGACCGGAATATAAGTAGAATGCAACGGTTTGAATCGTTAATTTGTTGAAACGATTGTTCTCTGAGACCACTGTGTAACTTTTGACCTGAGAATCACCAATTATAACGACAATGGGGAAGCAGTAGGCTGTACTGTAGAGTGTAGGCAGGCAACACTATATAGTTGGCACACTTACGAAAGCACACGACTTACGCAGTGGACATCTGCATCATGCATGTTAAGGTTTACTGGGAAGAGTGAGAAATTAGTCAGAATATAACTGACTAAGGAAAATAGGCGATATTTCCTATTGAGCTGGGGCGGAGAGGGGGAGGGGACGTGTGGTCAGCTATGCTAATAATTCATTCTCTTTATGCAGCTGTGTAAAAGGGCGTCCGTTTTTGGGTGAGACCTTCCCCATCGGCCATTTCCAAGTTAAATCGTGGTGGAGAGTCTGGAGACCTCAGCCTCGGTAGTCGGTACCCTGCGCGCTGCGCCACCTTGCGAAACATAAAGCAGCAGTCCTGACATCTACAGGCGTGACTTTTCATGAAAGCGCGGATGTGTTCGCGCTTATGCGAAGAAAGTTCTTCCGAGTATGGTTGATAATGAGATTAATTGTTGTCATTTATTTATTAATTCATTGGCAAAAGTACCCTAATAAATCGGTAAAATAGCTTGAACTGTATCGTATTTCCTTCGGAAAAAATGACGAACTCATCCTAAGACATCCAGATTATTGGATGCGTTCGTCAGTTGTAAGTAGTTCAAGTTTTTGGGAAAATTTGCTTGTGGAAAATCATAATATTTCAAAGATATGCCTATTTTCGAATAATTTATGCATTTATCTGCATTGAAAAATGATTGTAAAGCAAAAGTGCAAAAGATTATTGTCAACTTATTTTCTCAAATCACGATTTACGAACGCACAAAACTCCAGCTTTTAATTTAGTGCGTGTGCGAATTGCGGTCAAGAAAAAATATTTAAACTGTCTATATTCCTCTTAAAACAATGAAGGATGAATGAAGAAAACGCTGTTTTGAACAATTGTATATTTATTTTTTCTTAATTAAGCAAAAGTACAAAATTTTCAACTATTATTACATTTGCTCTCACAAAAACCATCACTTTTTAGCATGACGTCATGTCAGCCAAATTTACTAGCGCCATCTCTGGAGAGCATCTTTCGAAACCTCCAGACGATAGAGAGAGCCCTCTTTTGTGTTCGGTGCTGAGGCATTTAGGAGCATTTTGTTTCATTTTAAAGGTGTTATTACCGTTGATGCGGGATGATTACTTCCTGAAGTGATCTTGAAGAGTGTGTTTGTGACCCGAGAGGCATCACATGCTGTGAATTATAAATGGGACCTTGAAATTAGCGGTCTAATTTGGCAATTTTCTCGGTCAAGTTTGTTTTTAATTTGATGCACATTGTTCATATTCTGAAATAATCCACACATATGACATAAGTGCATCAATATCGAAGCTGAAAGTATCAACCACATAGGTACTTGAGTCACAAGTTGTTATCTGATACAAGATGAGCATGAATTGCAATCCTCCTCATGCAAATGGACTGCTTTTCTCCACATTCAACCAAGACCAAGGTAGGTGGGTTCCTTCCACTGTCCACTGTAATGCTGATATTTTTGTGTGGGGGTAAAGAACCTAAGTTTCCATCTAAATGCAAGGTGACAATAAAGTCAGGTTCCAGTTCTGAATGTGAAAACTTTGGTTTGATGACTGGATTCCCTTTGTCAGCCTTCAGAGGGTAGGTACCTACTTTACTTACGTTACCAAAAGATGGCATTACAGTTCTCCTGAGTCTAGCATGGCCTCTCCTCTCACCAATTGTCAGCTGACCTGAATCACTAGACGGGCACCTTGCGGACTAGGTGAGGAGGAAGACAATGTGGCACAACAAAAGCAGGCCGCTTAAACTCAAGTCTGCCCAGAGTCATCAAGCCCATGCCCCACACTGTTAGGGTATTATCAAAATTGCTACGTTTTGAAGGCCCTGAAATTAAAAATTGTTTAAAGACGTTTTATCTCCTTTGACCCTTTCCCTGCCCCATTCTCACATTCCTCCTCTGACAGGATGTTTTGCATGCGGCACCGACAACGGTTTCCGCATCTACAACTGTGATCCGCTGAAGGAGAAGGTCCGCCAGGACTGGCCTGATGGCGGCATCGGCAGCGTGGAGATGCTGTTCCGCTGCAACTACGTGGCGTTGGTCGGCGGCGGAAGTAGTCCAAAGTACCCGCCCAACAAAGGTAACTAGGGCAGCCCTGGTCAAAGTGGACACCTGTTGAATAACTGTGTGGTAAGCAGTATGAAGTTGAATCATCCAGCAAGGTAGGCTAGCATCAGCTCATTAAGCATTTCAAGTTGAGATTTACATGGGAACAAAATAATTTATCTAGAGCCACTGTTTGCAAGAAAAACGGTCATTTATTCCATCGAGATAACGGTCAATTAGTCTACCAACGGTACGTCAAACTCCCAACCACATGAGCATGAAGACAAATTTAATCCATCGAGGTGACATATTTAATGAGAAGGAATACCTCGAGTAACTTCCGGCGGTTCATCACGCATCAATTACCCGGGAAAGCATCGCGTTACTCCACACTTTTGTTCCATCATTGTCATCAACTTGTCATTACCTGACCTTCCTAACCAGCCTCCTGTGTTTTATTCCTCAGTAATGATCTGGGACGACCTGAAGAAGCGCACGGTGATCGAGCTGGAGTTTTTCAGCGACGTGCGTGCCGTGCGCCTCCGTCGGGACCGGATCGTCGCCGTCCTCGACAACATGATCAAGGTGTACACGTTCATGCAGCAGCCGCAGGCGCTGCATGTGTTCCCGACCTCCTACAACCCGCAGGGTGAGAGCGGGCGACTCGTGGTTATAGGACATCAAAGCCTTGGTGTGTTGGTGTCAAATTCAGGTTCATTTGGCTTTCGTTCTCTAGACTGGTAAAAACGATGAAGTGTGTAACATTGCATCAGCTCTTTGTTGGTCCATTTTAAAGGCTCCACATGACACTTTTACCGTCATTGTAACGGTCAACTCGGTAAACTTCTTAGTCATCGATCATTGCGTCATCCGTGTTTTCGGCCATGCCTTGCTGTCATGCACTGGGATTTTCCAGCTGTTCTTCATCGGTGTGAACGCATCACATATAATCTGCGACACTAGCTCTCACTACCGTAGCGTTATCCACCATTCGCTTACATTATGTAAAAACCGACTTGTTTGCATTCTCTTTCTAGGACAGCGTAAGGGGCCGTCTTTATCTGTCTTTTCCCGTCCCGCCAGGTCTGTGCGTGCTGTGCCCCAACTCGAGCGCCTCCCTACTGGCCTTCCCCGGCTCCCGGACGGGTCACGTGCACCTGGTGGATCTGGCCGATACCTCCCGGCCGCCCCTGGACGTGGCTGCGCACGAGGCGGCGCTCAGCTGCCTGCAGCTCAACCTGCACGGCACGCGACTGGCCACCGCCAGTCAGAAGGTACGGGGCAAGGCTGCTTGATTGCTTAGTAATGCAGAGAGACTCTGGCCATTTTCCACGACTGCCAGTAGAAAAGTGTTGGCTGTCAATGATTGCCTGAATGATAATCTGTCATGCTTCGAATCGCACACCTGCGTACGTAACTTGCGTTTGCGTCTTTATGGGTGCACACATACGGTGCGTTCGTCTTCTTATTCCTCTGCAGTTACCCTACTCTGTCTGATCATTATAGCATGGTGCTAGTCTGTGCAGTCGCGTTATCCGTCTCGTAATATCGTCTCGGCTTTCTCTGACCGCTGTGTTTCCGGCTGCCAGGGTACTCTGATACGGGTGTTCGACACGTCGACCGGTGACATTCTCTGCGAGCTCCGGAGGGGCGCCAACAACGCCCACATCTACTGGTAAGTAGTGCGGCTATACCTGGTCAGTCTTCACAGGCTCCTAAAGGAGTGCGAGAACATGGTGGTCAATACACCGAAACGAGTTCGGGGTATCTTTATTTTCGGCCACTTTTTAAGCATCATTTGTGTTTTATTTCGGCCGTACAAGTGTTTTGATCCATTTCCTTTGTCTGAAACACTGGAAGTCGCCTTAACAGCTGTGCCTGGTGTGATCGCGGCTTGACATGTATTCTTGGCGTCAAGCCAAAGTGTTGAATATCACCGCCAAGCTACTTCGCGTGACTTTCGTTATGATTCATGGCTTAGCTGGTAAATTAAACGAAAACAAGGGTGAAGTGAACGTGTTTGCCCTTGAGATCGTTTCGTGTGTTTTTGTGTTTTACGGTTGCTAAGTGCTACAATCTCCATAAATACCTGTTACCGAGTGCACCGATGATCTAAACACCATGCCTGTGTAGTACACAGTCCACAGTCTGGCCCAAAATCCAAAACCAACCAACACTAGGATTAAAAAGACTCTGAATGTACCGATAATTCTATTCTTTGACTGACGCATACACGTTGAGGTTTAGATATAAGATAACTACCTATCTCAGACTTATCTATCTGACACGTTCTTCCCCCGTCGCGTACAGTATCAACTTCAACCACGACTCGTCTCTGCTGTGCGTCTCCAGCGACCACGGCACGGTGCACGTATTCGCCGTAGAGGAGGAGCACAAGGCCAAGGAGACAGGGTAAGGCACAGAGGGATGGAGGGCACCGCGCGAGTTACAGCGGCGACGGATTTCGTCGTTGCTCAATATTTATGCTCATGACCATCTCAATGCTCACAGAATGATGCTTAGGCTGGTCGGCTTAGGGTACCGTTGTGCCTTTTATTAAAGAGGCACTGCTCGAGCAGTGTTCTGTGGTCACCTTAACCCATGATCTACTAATAAACCCCACGTTGACTACTTTTGTATTTTAATTTGTATTTGTACAACTAACACTGACCCCACCTTGGCCATCGATTCCAGTACCGACCGCTCGCTAATGAACCCCCGCTACTAACACTGATCCGCCACCATGTCCCGTGATTCCCGTTCCGACCATTCGCTGACGACCCCGTTCTGACCCCACATTGACCCGTGTCTCCCTCCCAGACTGGTGCCGGCGGCGGCAGCGCTTCTCCCCAAGTACTTCAACTCCCGCTGGTCGTTCGGAAGGTTCCAGGTGCCGGGCGGCCCGCAGTGTGTCTGTGCCTTTGGAGCCGACAACAAGTCCGTCATTGGTGAGTGGAGGAGGGAGAGAAGGGCAGTGAAATGGGCGGGGGAGTAATATAGATGACACCAAGTTTTTTTCACAATAAAATCAATACCGAGTAAATAGTTGACCGACGGATCAAATAGATGCCGAATTAATCTATCAGGTGTGCACTGCGTAATATTAAACATTGTCCTATCGGCTATCTTGGGCATGAAATCGTTTGAAAACACTTGATATTTTACTGTAAATCGATTGCAACACTTCTATGTAGCTGAATTCTGTTTTAGCGACCGATTCATTGATCTCACACCCTTTACCTGAGTTGTTGGCCTAACCCTCCCTTTCGCTCTGTTTCAGTTGTGTGCGCCGACGGCAGTTTCTACAAGTACGGCTTCACGGCCAAGGGAGAGTGTCGGCGGGAGCTGTACGCGCAGTTCTTGGAACTGGGTGAGGATACCTAGCGATAGCACTGACTGCTAGGGAAGTCTCAGTGTGTGGGGAACTCTCAGATGACCTGGGAGGCTCGCAGAGTGGAGAACTCGGGAAGGAAGATGTGGCTAGATGGCGAAGATTGGTGCTAAAGTGGCTGATCTGGCAGCAGCGGCTGGGATGAATAGAATGCGGATCATAATGGAGGAGGATCGAGGCACGTCGCAGTAGATGTTGGGAGGTGTGTGGCAGTGGATGCTACAGAGACTGTGTTCTGAGACAGCTCAGCAGCAGTAGGAGCGGAAGACGTTGTAAGACTGCGCCGATGATGTTGAAATTGAGACTGCCGTTGAGTGCGGAGTGATGTAGGTCATACATCAGTCGGACCAAAGCTGAACGCCGAGGTGATTGGCATTGGCTGCTATGTGTGGATCAGGACGGAGACGTTGTTGGTAGGGTCCAGTGTGGGGAGGGGGGGGGGGGCGGTAGCTGAAGGTAATAACCCCTCCGCACTGCCTGGGACTCCCGTTCGACTCCTCATTCTGACATCGAGTTACCAGTTCCGTGTTACCAGAGTTATCGGGTGACCCTTATGTGGACAGTCGGTCGCGACAGCGGTATACGTTACCGCTCTAGCGGAAAGGTCCCTCAGTGTGATCACGCTTCGTGGCAAGTTACTGGTGTTCTGAGGTCGGAATCACGTAAAAATGTGGCCTGATAATTATTCTCTAACTGCTGTGTGCTCGAAAGCTACCCTAAATTTCGGGAAGTTTTCCGTTTTCTGCCGGTCCGTATCATTCCAGTGTATCGTGCGTATTTGTGGTTGCTAACTGGCTGGGTCTTGTCCGTGCTTTGCCTAGCATTTAACCCTATTCCTGGCGGGGGGGGGGGCCTCAGGAGCCCCCCCTGAGGTTTTTTGGTTATTTCTCCCAAACGCGTTGAGCTAGGAAGCTCAAATTTTCTGACTTTTCCTAAAAGGCTTCTACGCAACATGTCTGAAAATTTTGAGTTGATCTGACCTCAGGTCAGGTCACCAGAGGCGGTTTGGTGACCCTACCTCAGAAAAGTTTGCAATCACGCCAGAGCTAGAGTTTTTGACCGATCAATTTCTTCTCTTCAGGCTTTAGTTAGGGTACCAGTATGTGCAATTTGTATATCTCGGAATTTTGATATCGGTGACCTAAGGTCAGGTCAGTTTCGCGACCTTCCCATTATAAGTCAATGGGGGAAAAATCAACTCCCTGTTTTTACCACTAAAACGGGTCGGAATGGCCCCATATACCATACATGACTTCATATACGATCAACCTTCACTACCTTGAGGTCTGTTTTGCTGTTGGGCAGCTGTGAGGTCATGTGACGTCATCAAAGGTCACCAAAGGTTTTTGGCCAATAACTCCGTACAGGAACAAGATACAGACGCGTGGATGGTCTCATTGTGTTCAGCTCGTCAAGACGCATCGAATGATATACATGATGACCTCGAGGTCACGTAACCTGAGGTCAACCTTTGACCTTGACCTTGCGAGGTCAACATATATATCATTCGATGCGGATTGACGAGAGGATCACGATGATGCCCTTAGTTTGTTCCTATCTTGACTAATTCGAAAGTTATTCGAGAAAAACTCTCCCCATATCTAGCGCCGCCATTTTGACTTTTTCGACCCCTGTGACGTCATCTTTGACCTGACCTGAAAATGACCTTTGTAAAAATTGTAGATCTTGACCGTGCGTATCCGATGCCGTTTACCGTTTGTCGCTATCTTGCTTCGTTCTCGAGATCTCAGGGGGGGGGCCGAATCGGCCCCCCCCCCCCGCCAGTTTCTTGTCCCGGCGGAGCCCGCCAGGAATAGGGTTAACGCGCTGATCAGCCGCTCTGATTGTAGAACGGCAGCTGGGACGGTGGAAATCTGTCGTGAAGAGCAGCGTCCGGACTGGCCGAAGTAGAGTGTCTATTGGGCATTGTGACCTGTCTTTCAGAGGTGTGAGAATCAGGTGGTGAGACATCTAAGAGGGGATGATGTGAATGGAGCTGTGTATTTTAACGAGGGGTTAATACTGGCGGGTAAATTAACCATCTACCAAGTGCTGCGAGACGTGTGTGCATCATTGTTGAAGGGCTCGATCATTGATTTTCCTGCGTTGGATAGTTTCGTTTCCTATTACGATCCAGCCGCGTTGCCCGTTCCCATAAAGCCACATAGCGTGCCCACCACCATGATTTCCCCGTGTTTGCCGGGAAGTGTGTTATGCGTATCCAAGACGCCATCGCTGGGTACCCAGGGGGGTGTAGGACGATATTTATTGCTAGTTTTAGCCTCTGCCTACCTGAGCTTGTGTTCCTGTGCACATTTGCAATGTGGATGATCGCAATGTTGATAATTGTATGATATCGATATAACGTGTATATTATGAACGGATGAATAATACAAGCATGTGGATAAGCCTTTACTTACTTAACTCATAAAGTTCGCTTCATAGCACGATATTAGTGAAGAAGTGTGCAATATTCATTTTGGCATTTATCGTTGAAATGGAAATGATTAATGAAGATACCGCAGCTTCGGGTTTCTCCCGTCCGCAAGGAAATACGATAACAAACAAGTCTTGACAATTGGTATTTTGTCAAAAAGCAAAGTAAGAAAAACATCAATAACACCCTTAGTGGCACGACATAGCAAACAGCATAGCATCGGAAGGGAGATGAATAGATGAATCATCTATTAGATAAGTCTGGATAAGTTATTTCAGCTTGGAATAGCGATACGTAATTAACGTGACATTTTCAACAGCTTCTGAAATATCGGGCTAAGCGTTTTCTGTGGGCTATGTCACTCACAAAAGTAACCCTGACAAAATCCTGGGACGCAGCAGCAGCACGTCACAATATTTCGAGCAGCACGCAGCAAGAGTCATCAATTCCAGTTACAGAGACTGACCGAGGTACACATGTTCAAACTGACTTGCGCACCCACCAGGTATACGCACAAAGCGATTACGACCGTGGCTGAAACGGTCGTCGGCGCTGTAACGGCGGCACGATTCCACGATCACCAGACACATGAGATGCGAATAACCGCCACACAGCGTCAATCCCGTGCGGCTTTCATGACTGTACGTCATCGTTTCAGCCGATGACGCATGATGCCAACACAGCTGTTGATGACGAACGTGGCTCTTGAAGCCAGCTCACCACAGTTCACGAGCCCGTACCACATCGTCTGTGACATCTCGTCCATCGTCCTCACAGGCCACAGCACATCACTGATAGTAGAGTTCCAGATTCATCCCGTCATGGATCTCATAGTCCTCCAGGGTGATGTGGTCCTTGAAGACGGTGTACCACTTCTTCAGCACTATCTTGTCCCAGCGCGTGCCCGTCTGCGCGGCCACCAGCTTCTTCAGGTCGCCGATGGTGTCGTCCGGGTTACATTTGACGCGGACTTTCTTTCCCAGTCGGTCGTTGCAGGTGACCTCAATCATGATTGAATGAAGAGAGGCTAAGGGTGATCTTGATGCTGGCTTGCTACAGGGAGGTTGGCGAAACAATGCGGCAAACTATCAGCCAGCTTTCACCGATTCACCTGTAATAGACAGAACTATTAAAACTATGCACTGATTGCATTTCCATGGAATATTATTTTTAAAAAATGTTAAGCAAAGTTTTTGGAAAACATCTCCAAAGCAAATATCATTGATATTGATATATAAAAATGATATCTTATATAGTTTTACTGTTATCTATGCAAAGATTAAAAATATATATTGCCTATTTCTGTGAAAGATTGATCCTCATCCCTTTGATTGATGGAGTTCAATGACAATAATTAATCCTGGAAGAGTCTTAGACTGTGGTGACTGGTGAAGATTTTGTGTCAAACAACCCAATCAGAAGTCTGTGAAAATGAATAATATGTGATTAGAAATTGATATAGGTAAGTGGTACAGATTTGGGTGCCTCACATGAGATAGGCCCATAAGAATATAAATATTTAAACTTAAAAAATGAAGCAACATATAGCTTTTCTCCTGGCCTCCCATAACCTTAAAACAATATCATCATTCACCTGCCTGCTACAAGCATGCCATTGGCACAGCATTTATTTAGGCTACCTATTTCCTGAATAAGACAATGCTGATGTCTATGAATGCATATTGATATAGTTCAATGAACAACACATCCATGAACAGTTCTCAATCTACCACACCATTTGAAATGTTAACTAGAGTGAAATAATATCGTTCTTGCAGGCATCACACACCTACGAGGCCTGTTCTTGATTTTTGTTTTACAAGTGTCAGATGTCTGGCAAAATCTGCTGTAAATCCACATGCATGATATATTCAGGACAAACATTAATTATCTTAATATCAAAGGCAGCAATATATTTGCTGGTAAATAGGTTGCATACTATCACCGCAAGTATAGCAAATAACTGCCTGGCCTCGGATAAATAGGCAATAGATCAAGATTGAGATAAAATAAAATAATTCAAACTGCTTTACTGCTGTATGTCAAGCCTATATAATGGTAGTCGCAATCGGGCAAATTAATGGCAAATTAATGATGTAAAATAAGAATGCAATTAATGAAAAAACATTGAAAATATATCCGTTAAGAACAGCTAGGGATGAAAATATCTATGCTCCAATAACACACCTGAAATTCATAGAAACTCCAAAGAAATTCTTTAAAATTCCTCCTAACCTGTGGCTATTTGCCGACAGCTGACCGATTGACGCAACAGCGCAGTTTCTGAACAAGTTCTCTTCCTAAAATACTGTCCTAGGAATGTCTAACCTGTTTATCCTAAATTAAACATAGTTTGTGGATAAGAATACTTTTGTGATTGTAGAAATGACCTTTGAGCACAAAAATGTCAAAGTATTTATTCATACAAAAACTGGTGTTGAATTTAGGTCGATTATAATACTAAGTTAAAACAATGTCGACATTCGATTGCGCCTGTGCGACATATGCGACGCTGTGTCCCACGGGTTCCGTCTCCTTTGGATGAATTTAGTGTATTTATTTGAGAAAAAAACTTATATTTGGTCGTTGATTGCCACTTATCACTGTAGGAAAACATAAGAATAAGCGTAAGCTTAATAAGAATAAGCTTTGAAACAAATATCAAGATCGACTCTGCTGAATCTGTGTCACTGAGTCCGCCTTGGCCTCCTCGCACTGTGAGCACAATTTCTGCCTATAATTCCATGTAATAACCATGGAAGAAGTATTCCAAAAGTATTCCTAATCCATGCTATAACCTTGGTGAGAAGTGAGCACTGAGCAAGCATACTTTCAATATATTGACTTTCATATTGCAATTGTGGCAAATAATTTTAAGTTGAAAATTTGGATTTATTGTGTTCCTATATCATGTTGATGTCTGCATCTTTATTCTACATCCCGTCACTGCCCATTCTATTCATGTTGTGTACAAATTGTTAAGAGGTACCTACCTACCTACCTACTGAATGTGTCTTTCAGTGACAAGATATAACATTTTGTGTTCTTGCTGTCACTGGTACCACTTCATATGCTGCTGGACATACCTAATAGGTGCCCCACCCCATCCTGTCTCCGCAGCACTCCGTAGACCAGTATGCTGCCCCGCTGTCTGGCGCTGACGCAGCTGCGCGGGCTGCAGCTGAGCTGGTGCCGTCTCCGCGCCGCCCGGCTCCCGCAGCAGAGAGTGACCCAGACCGCTGGTATCCATGTGGCCGTGCCACAGGCTAAGGAGAAACGAGATGGACATGTGAACACCAAATTGGTACCACATGCCATCTTTGGAGGTGCAAAGGTGAGAGTGATATTTGTTTTAAGATCATTTTCTCATCTGATTCTACCTAAAACCATTGCCATCAGACCCTTCTCTATTTAGAATGGAAGAAATCTTGCTATTTATCAAGTCAAGCAATTTTGTTTTGGAATTAAAACTTTCTGTATTATAGCTAAACCTTTCTACTATGGAGAATCCACTCTGTTTTTTTTTTTTACAAATATGCAGTGCATGGATGTCTGTTGTCCCTGTGTAATCTCTTATTCGTGTATTATTTCTATGTCCTGCAGGAGAAGAACAAGAACACCTATCTGGCTGCGATGGACATGTTCCACGAGATGACCGTCCACAAACGCGGTCACGTGGAGTTCATCTACGCGGCTCTCCGTGAGATGGAAAACTACGGCGTCCACAAGGACCTGGAGGCGTACAAGAAGGTGCTGGGCGTCTTCCCCGTCGGACAGATGGTCTCCACCAACGTGTTTCAGGTGAGGACGCTGTGGGGTCGGTCTGTTGTGCGGTGTTTGATGTTTTACTGGCGGAGAAGTCATGTACTTAGGTTTGTTCATTCTAGAACATATAATTACTGGTGGCGAAAGCCGCAGCTTGAGTCGTGGCTGAACCCAGTCGTGGTTTTAATGTGCACTGTGCAGACTAGTCTGATGACATATCCATCACGTTTCTAACAACATTGATGTTATTTCTGTGACGCCAGGTGGAGTTTATGCACTACCCGCGGCAGCAGAACTGCGCCATCGACGTGCTCCAGCAGATGGAGGATAACGGTGAGAGAAAAAAAACATTCCTCGTTTAAGTTCGTTTTGTGGACTATTCAGTTTCATCGATTTCAGCTTTGGTTTTGCCCAAGATTTACCGTTATCTTTCTAGTTGAGGTTTATTTGCCATCGGGTCTACAGTGCAGGGATATTTCTATCTCGCACTCCTCTGAGATGCAAGGATAAGAATTTGTTATCTCTGCATCCCTCTGAGATGCGAAGATAAGGTCTCGCGGGTTCAAAGCTAAAAATCAAGAGTTCAAGTGATGATGGGTCAATAACCGAGCCATTTTTAACGGTTGTTTGTGTATGAAACTTATGAAATAAATCCAAAATACTCTAAATCTATTTTTACATAGATGAATTCATTTCACATTTGAATATGATATTTAAATAATTAAGAATAAACCTCAACATAGAAAGATATAGGATTCCTCATGGCTCACTCGTGGAAGATCGGATATCTTTTCCTCGCGTGTAACAGAAAAACCTCGCTCCTTCGTCGCTCGGTTTTTCAGTAACCCGCTTGGAAAAGATATCCTTATCTTCTACTCGGAGCCATGAAGAATCCTCTATGTCTTTCATATACGAACGTCACCAGTGATTGAATGATATTTCATATGGTTCAGTGCGATGATCGGTATGATCGAAATCGAAAGCTTACTTTCACGATAATTCTGAATTATTATGACACCTCCCTGCCCACGGCCCACAGGCGTCATCCCCGACCTGGAACTGCGCGACCAGCTCATCACCATCTTCGGCAAGTTCTCGTTCCCGGTGCGTAAGCTGGCACGGATGCTGTACTGGATGCCCAAGTTCCGTAACCAGTCCCCGTGGCTGCTGCCGCGGCCCCTGCCTTCCGAGCTGCAGCAACTGGCCCAGCTGGCTGTGAAACAAATCACATCGGTGGACGCGAGGTCGGAGGTCACCACATTCACGGTGAGATGGGAAGAAAGGGGGTGGTGTGAGGGCACTGTGTTCGGATTTGTGTTTGATTATGAGAGTATGATATCTTTGAAGACTGATGTGTCCGGGGGCCGTTTTCATCAGATGGAATGTGATTTCTGAAAAATAACGTATTCTATTGTTTAATCGTGCATTGCAAGATCGAAAGCTTATTTTTAACTGTCGGTATTCGGAATCACTCCCGGTATCGAAGCATGGATACATCGTCGCATAATCCCTCTCCCTTGCATCTGACTGACCTCATCCCTTTTCGCTGTCCTCTCACGAAACTCGGCATTTTAAATCCTATCTCTATGTCACATTTCCAACATTCTCCCAGCAACCGATCCCTCTCTTCTCGTCTGATTTGTATGTTATGCCATGACCACCATCTCATGTCACCAATGCCTCCGCTTTCCTCTCCCGTCAGGAGTCCGACCTGCCGGAGGACGCCGTCGACTCCACGTGGATCGTGTCGGGTCAGAGCGGTCAGCAGCGCCGTCTGCTGGAGGAGCACCCTTCCGACAAACCGCTGTTTGTCGAGGGAGCCTACACCGTGTGGCTGCAGGACCAGGCCATATCGTACTTTGTGCTGAGAGCAGAGCCGCAGCCGCAGAGACAGCACGAGGGACTCGACTCGGACGGTAAGGAGTGGGAGGAGAGGGGGAGAGAGGGATGGAGGAAGGCTTATCGAAAAGGGACTGCTAATCTTAATGGTAGCGAGACAGAGGCGATGTTTCGTTGGTCTCTTTCGTGCTGTTTTCTTAGTTCTAGTCGTTCTAGTCTAGTCTAGTCGTAGTTCGTTAAAATGGATACTGAGCTTCTCAAGGTCAAGTTTTGCAAGTTTCCATACTATGCCTCATCTATCGAGATGTCTCTACGTCAATCCGTATGATGTTGAGTCAGCATCATACGGATTGACGTAGAGACATCGCGATAGAGTCAACATTGTTGACTCTACCCAGTACCCGCTCATATCCACTTCTACTCATCATACTGCTCCCAATTTATGGTAATAAACTCTGCTTACTTTGCTCCTGCATCGTATCCGCCCACCATTCCTGCTCACCGATGTCCACTCCTCACCATCTCTGCTCACCATTTATCTTTTCCACTCACCCCGCAGACATCACGTACCTGGAGAACTGGACGTGGCGGCGGGCCCGTCAGGCGGCCTCCTCGGACTCCGGCGGCACGGCCTGGAACGTCCGCCCGCCCAGCGTGCACATACAGGAGGACGGCACCATCATGGCCGTCTGCGCCACAGGTCAGTTACACTCCGTGACGGGAAGGGCTGGAGAACGTGATAGTGTTAGCCAAACGGGCTTGTTACGTTTTTAGAGCACCACTAACCCATCCGTCTGGCGTGTTGGTTTTTGCTGTCCTCTATCGAGTAGAGATTGAACCATTAACTTGGTATCACTTCCGTCTGTATCTGTATCAATATACTTTGTTGTCCGGATTTTTGTGAGTTGATGTGTCGAAACTCTATAGGAAATGATGGTTGAGTTAAAATAAAATCATCCGTCTCTTCTTACAACAGACAAAACACTCCAAGCTGTATCATGGAGGTCAATGTGCGTAAACGAGCTGCCCATCTCCAAGATAATATGGCCTTACTAAAACCCCTCTCTCCCTCCCACAGGCACCTCCAGTCGCGACTCGCTCCTCTCGTGGATCCGCCTGCTGGAGCGCCAGTGTCCCCGCCTGGCTGAACTCCCTGTGGTCTTCACTCTCCGGTCACCCGAGACCGGGGTGACCACGACAGATGAGAATCCTGAGAGAGGGGTAACCACGAGCGGCGGTTCCGCGCGGGCAGAGCACAGGTCAGACGGTGCAGAGAGCAGAGGGGCGGAGAGAGAGGGTGGGAGAAAGGGAGAGGATGGCGGGGAGAGTAAAAGGTGACGCCGCCGGTAGGGTAGGTAGGGTAAATTGAGACGGGTTAAGGACAGTGTGAGTTGAAACAAGGCAGGGTCGAGAAATGGCGAAAAGCTTGACGGAAAGTTAGGGAAAAAGTAAAGGAAGATGTTGCTTTCGTTGAAGGGTATCGTTGGAGGGAAACGCCAAGGTGGTCAAGGGAGATTTGCTGACGGAAGACACCGCAATGGGTAACAGAAGGGGGACTTTCAGTGCTGCCGGCAGGGACGTAGTGACGTCATATGACGTCATTGCAGATACGAACGCCGCCTGATCTGTGCAGTTAATGTCCACGGGTGGCGCCATCATACGAGCTTGCGGTGTTACCGAACTTACTGGCCACAGATCGGTGTCGACGACGTTCTTCAGGAGGTCATTTTTACTGCCTTTAGCTCTCATGTTGAGGTGATGCCACGTATGACTTCATGAAGTCTCCTTGTGTTTTAAAGGAGGGGGTAGCGTTTCGCAAGCTCAACCAGTGAGTCAGGTTGTTATGTGGCTTACATCAACAGCATCAGTAGCATGCCGTTGGCGCTGATTTGACATCAGGGTTAACGTAAAATAGCTCGCGCTACGTCATGCTACTTCTTGTGACGTTGGGCCCGGCTCATGTTCAAGGTGAATCGATTGTGCTCGATTTCCCCTCAGACTGTGATATTAGCAGAACATATGTAGTATGTTGAGTGAGTGTGAGTGACAATTGATTTTTTAGATTGAGTTTGTGCAGTTGTTGGTATCCTGTGTTTTGACAGAAACTTCGAATCAATAAATCGTCGTAACGAGTCTGGTTATGACCTGTGACCAGCGATTTTTAAAGGCCACTTATGTTTGGTATAATTTGTGGGAAATACGGTTCAATTATCAAAGTTAAATGAAGGTCAATTTTCACGACTCGGCGCCTTGACTCTCGCCGGGACAGAGGCGGGTAAATACAGCTCACTTTGGCCATCCCGCGTCACTTCGTAACAACCGTGACGCCGCTCGAGATGTTTCGTGGCGCGTCACGCTGTGCGTTGATAGTTGACCCACTCCTGCGTCACGATTGGGGTGGTCCGGTGGCACTTTGTCACTTATTGTTACGTTGTGTGATACTCCCTGGTGCGACTTTGTTTGAAGTGGGAGACAAGTTTGCTGACTTGTTTGTCGTGGGGTGGTTGTGAAATGCAGGACAACATTAGGGGAGTTGCGTGGTGGCCTTGTAATTCAGTGTGGACACCCGTTGGCTGATTACCTGAAACCGCTTTTGGGTAATTTGTAGCTGAAAGCGGAATTTCTGATGCCGTTTTGTGGTTTTGAATTCCGCCGTCTGTGCGAAATTTCTTTGCTCCAGATCATACGGATCCATTCATCCACAGGTCATCTGTTGCAACTGCATCAACGGCCTAGTCCACGATACATTCGTTAACTGAGCACATGATATATTTATTGGACTTGTTTATGCGTGTCAGTCAACACAACCAGCGGGACATATCTAGACATGAACATCGGAATGTCGCATGTTTGGACACTGGAATGGAGGCAAGTCGAGAACCAAGAGCTCCGTCTGACTTGGCAAGGCGGCGCGCAACTCATTGTACACTTGAATCATTTTTTGCGCTTTCGCTCCACAACTCAACGTCATCATCGGCACCCCCAGACACACAAACACATCGGCTTCGCTAAGCTCCCAACGTTCACGTCCTTACACCATTACTGGCTCTCCACTCGGAATCTTCAGCTCATCGTCGGGCCACCAGCTCAGTCCTGAGAAACCTGTATCATCACTGGCTCGTCACTCACATAATCTTCACCTTGTCACCGAGTCATATCCTCATCTCGCGTAGCACTGCCGCAATGCTCACTCACTCAGTCGCTCCTTTTTCGTATCGTTTCACGTCCTCATCGAACGCCCAGCACGGTCTTCATCTCGTCACTGATCTCTGACGTAGCCGACCTACGACTGGTCGCATCCTCCGCCGTCAGACTTCTCACCACTCCTATCGTTCCCCGGCGCATACTCGACCTCCTACTGCGCGCACTGACCGCTGGGGTTAGGGTTCTCCGTCGGGCCCTTCGTTCTCGATGCCCAAACTGCTTGGACGTGTTGCACAGCTCCCAGAAGGGCGTGGTTCGTGCCGAGTACACTGCACCCACCACTAGGGCGAGGAGAGGACACAGCGCTGCCGTGTAGGCGAATACGGCTGTAGGGAGACCCCCGGGAGGCACTGGAGGGAAGCGATATACCATGAGCTGTCCCAGGATCTCTATCAGGACGATGAAGGGACACACGACCAGCCAGCTGGCCAGCATCTGTCGCCAGACTCCGCGCGCGTCGATCCCCAACTGGACCTGCACCTGGTCTCGGAACTCAGGCCGGGAGAGTTTGAAGCCGACCACCACAATGAAGAGCAGCGCGACGAAGGACAGCTGAAGCCGCACTAGTGGGTAGAGCGGCAGCCTCACGTCGTGGAAGACACTCACCGCCAGTACGGTAGCACAGAGGATGAACGGCGCCACCGCCACCAGCACAGCCAGCCAGAACGGCCTACCGCGGAACGACGGCACCGCGTCCACCAGGTTCAGCGCCAGCGACACCATGATCATGGCCAGGGTGGCCAGCGCCTGGGCGGCCATCGTGCCGAAGTAGATGCTTCCCCAGAAGCGCGGCCGCGGCATGCCGTCAGTGATTGTGGTGAAGGCGACGAACACCAGCGCCTCCGAGTCGTGATCCAGCTGCTGTAGCTGGTCCTTGGAGATGCCGACGTGCCGCTCCAGGTGGCCTCGCACAGAGAACAGCAGGATGCTGTTGAGGAGGCCGAACACCACGTCGGCCGTCACCAGGATTGTGCAGGAGCGCAGTGCGTTGTGACGCAGCCGGTCCCGCGAACTCAGCGTCGGTATGACGCCAGTGCCGAACGAGAGACTCCACAGTGTCATCCCGCAGGCATCCATCCAGAAGTTCTTCGTCAGAAGCTGCGCCAGGTTGGCCCTGCCGAAGAAGAAGTTGGACACGCCGGCCCAGGCGCCGGGGAACAGAACCACTCGCGTCATCACCAGCAGGGTGACCAGCGGGCTGGCGACGATGACGACCATGGCGAAGGTGGAGGCCACCCAGAGGTTGAAGCAGGGCAGCAGCGCCAGGATCCAGACGGCGCAGTACGCCACGAGGAACGCGCGGACGTTGTTCTCGCACACGGGCAGCGAGACGTTCTTCTGGCACTCGTATCTGCCGCTGATGTAGTGGTAGTGGAAGTCGCGGGAGGAAATGAAGCGTTCTCCGACGCTTCCCACCTCGCTGGCGTTCGCCGCTGTGACGTTGCGTAATCTGCGCTCGGTGTGATCCACCATCCATCTTAAAGTGATGTTGGTGTGCGCATCGCGCAAGCAGTGTGATCCATTGTACTCGTGGTATCCGTTCTGCACGCAGTAAGTGGATGCCGGGATGCATTTGAAGTCGTAGTAGACGCTATGGTTGTAGCCTTTGTTACAGTGTTCCTCCAATTCTTCCAGAAAGCAGTGTTTTGAGTTGTAGTCGGCACTGCAGTCGTGCCATGGCAGAGACACTTGTGGAGCGTGGTATGCATACATGAATACCTTGGCCACATGAGCGGAATAGTACACCATGATTAGTCCTGTGATGATCAGCATCGCGTAGCCAAGGCCCCGGAACAGCGGCCCTAGCTGAGTTAAGAGCACAACCACACTCTTGGCCGAGTACTGACCGGCCAGCGACTCCAGGAAATTGGCGGGATAGGAAGAGATCAAGACCAGACACATGACGACAAAGTAGAATATGAAGCCGCCGTAGTGCCAGGCCAGCCGCGGACCCAGGATGTACTCGGTTGTACCGATGTACACGGCGAGCTTCACACACAT